AAGGCTTGGAGCTGTTCTCTTACTCTCTTATTCCTATTTGGTGTAGGTTCCCTGGGAGGCTTCCTAGACATGGGGGAGGGCGTCCATACACTAATTCAAAAGGGGAAAGGCCTTGAGTCCCAGGTGTGCAGTGAGCATGCAGGAGAGCCAGGGACAGTAGGTCTGGCCACAGGAGGCCAGTTTCTTGGCAAAACTTAGCTAGGGTTCTTTTGAGGGTGCAATTCATTCATTCCACTTTCCCTGAACTTTGTGACCTGTATGCAGTGTGGAGTTTCCAGGTAATATTGAGAGATTTAATTAAAATCTGTACTGCATCTGCTACAAAGTCAGGTTATTAGTATTGCTTTTTGAAGAGGGCTTCTAGTGCAGTTTTTCTTAGGTGGGTGAGCTGATGGTATTTGCTGACTACATGACTTCCGGTTGTAGTTGGGAGACAAAGATGTGTCTGTCAGGCAGCAGCCATCATTTTTTTTTTTTTTAGTTAGGGTACTTCCTTCAGCTGTGGCCCAGTCTTTCTCGTTTTCAGTGTGCTTGGGTGAAGGGGCCTCCACTGGGGATGTTAGGGCCATGGTGAGGGAAGGAGCTTTATCTGTTTTTTTATTGGCCGCTGTTTTAGCTGCCTTATCTGCCAGTTGGTTCCCCTGTGTTATAGGGTTGTTTTTTTTGTGTTGTTCTTTGCAATGCAGAATTGATACTTTTTCTGGGAGTCAGACAGCCTTGAGGAGTTTTATATTGTGCCAGCTGAGAGTTGGAGAGGAATCGGTGTCCCTGTGTGTTTGAGGAACACAAGTATGGGGACCTTGACATTTTTTGTCCCTAAGTAAGTTTATATGCTTTTTTAATGAATAGAACTGTGGCTGCCAGTGTCCTGAGGCAGGGTGGCATTCCTGCCTCAATTGGGTTTAGTTTTTTTTGTTTTTTTTTTTCTGACAGGTATGCAACCGGCCACTGCCAGGGCCTAACAGTTTATGTGAGAACTTCAAGGGCTACTTTTTTCATGTATGAAGAGACTGAAGGGCTTTTTTATACCTGGCAGGCCTAGGGCTGATGCCTGTTCTGAAGTGGCCTTTATTTTCAGAAAGGTGGCTCTTGCTTCTTTTGTCTAGACAGGGGGTTCTCGGTATGGCCCCCCGAGGAGGCTGCAGAAGTGTTTTGCCATTGCCGAGAATCCAGGAATTCAGATTTTGCAGAACCCGGCGGCCCCCAGGAACTCTCGTAAGCCTTCTTCATCTGGAGCTGGGCTCAGGAGATGACCTTTTCCTTCCTTGGCCCTCGTGCCCTTTTTCTCTGGGTGAGGAGGAAGCCCAAGTACCAGATTTGCTGCTGGCAGATTTGTGCCCTTTTTTTATAAGGCTCAGTATCCTGAGTCTGACAGGAGTTGCAGGAGGGCCTTTGTGCCTTTTGCACAATTTTCCTGGGTGTCACTGGCAAGGTAGAGGTCATCTACTTACTGCAGGAGGGCACAGCACTTGGCTTCCCTCGGAAAGCTGGTAAGGTCTGCTGCCAATGCCTCTCCAAAGAGAGTGGGTGAGCTCTTGAACCCTTGTGGAAGCCGCGTCCATGTTAACTGCATCTGCTGCTGTATCCGGTTCAGTCCATTTGAAGGCAAACAAGAGCTGGCTTTGGGGGGCCAGGCGGAGGCAGAAAAAGGCATCTTTTAAGTCTATGCACGTGAACCATTTGGCAGACCCTGGGATCTGGCTGAGGAGGGTGTACAGATTTGGGACCACTGTGTGCAAAGAAACAGTCACTTCATTGATGGCTTGCAGGTCTTGAACAAGCCGGTGCCCTCCTTCTGGCTTTTTGACTGGTAGAAGCAGGGTGTTCTAGGGCAACTGACACTCGGTTAGAATGCCTGCCTCTCTGAGTCTGATCAGGTGCTCCTGGATGCCTGCTCTTGCCTCTTGTGAAAGGGGTACTGCTGCTGTCTTTGTGGCTGGGCCCCTGGAGCCAATTCTACAATGACAGGGGCTCGGTTTTGACCAAGTCCAGGTAGGTTGTCTTCAGCCCATACTGAGGGGAAGGCAGCTCCGACTTCAGGTGGGCTACTTGAGAGGGTCTGGGCACAGAACAGCCTCCACTCCTCTTCCCTGGGTGTGGTTATTGCCAGCACGAGGGACCCTGGCTCTTCTTGGCCTGGGTTTAGTTTGAGGCTGGTGCATCCAGTTGGTTCAAAAGTTATTTGGGCTCCAAGCTTTGGGAGTATATCCTAGCTGAGGAGGGGAACGGGGTACTCGGGCAGGTAGAGAAACCCATGTCGGGCCTTGTGGCCTCCAAGCTCACACTGCCGGGCTTGGTGAAAGTGTTGCTGGCCTGCTTATGTCCCAGTGGCTCCAAGGATAGTTGCCGTCTCTTTACTGAAGGGAGTTACAGGGAGGGTGACCACAGAGCGTTCCACCCCTGGGTCAACCATAAAAGTCATCTGTTGTCCCCCCACTTTCATTCTGACTGTGGGCTCATGGGGGCCGAGTGTGAGAGAGCCTGGTCCTTGTCAGGCTGAGTCTGCTCCTGCCAGGCTGGTGGGCCTTTCCCCGTGGGGCTCCTCTGGCTGCGACTGGGCTCTGGGGCTTTGCCTCGGTTGGGGCATTCATTCTTCCAGTGCCCCTTCTCCTCACAGTGAGCACACTGGTCCCTGGCTGGGGGCATCCTAGGCTTCCCCCTTCTTTGTGGCCGGCTTTTCTCTGCCTTTTGGTCATCTCTCTTTCTTTTAGGGCAGGTGCCTGGAAGCTGGCCTTTTTCTTCACTTTTCTTTCACCCTCTTTGTCAACCTGAACTTCTGTTTAGATATACTTTGTTAGCAGTTTAAATCAGTTTAGTGATGTTTATCCCGGCAAAGCCTTCAAATTTTGGAGCTTTTCTCTGATGTCTGGGGTGGCTCGAGCTATGAAGGAGCTGTTGACCATTTGTGGGCTCCCTGGGGACTCAGGATTGAAGCGGGTGTAGATGCGATAAGCTTCACACAGTCTCTCATAATAATCCTCAGGACACTTTCCTGGTTGTTGAGTGACTGAAGAAATTGGTCATGTTCATAGGCTTTTTGGACCTGCCTTTGATCCCCTGGAGGAGGGCATCCTGATATTGGTGGATCTGGTGCTGTCTCTCAGGGGTAGTGAAGTCCTACTTGGGGTGCTCCTCAGGGACAGCAATTTCAGCCCATGCTCCCCAATCAAGGACCCCAGCTGCCTCCTCTCTTCCATTGTGAACAGGGTGTGGAAAAGCTGTTGGCAGTCTTTCCAGGTTGGCTGATAGGTTTGGAAGAGGGATTTCATGAGATCAACCAGGGCTTGTGGCTTTTCCGACTGGGTGTTGTGTTTTTAATTGAGGAGGTTAGTCATTGAGTAGGGTTGATAGTAAAACATGGACCAGCTGGGCTGGATGGTCCCGTCTTTATTACGCCTTTCACATTCCCAGGTCTCTTGCACTGGCATCTGAAGGGTGCCTGCTCCTGGCCGAGGGCACAGTCTGGCTGCTGGTCCAGGGGAGAGTGTGACCATTCGTTCTGGAGTTGGTGGGGAAGCTGATGGCAGCAGGGTGTCTGGGACCAGGGGGCTGGGTGCTGCCATCCTGGGGGGCCACATAAGGTGGGGGCAATATTGGCTCTTCCTCTAGGTCACCAGCAAGAATTTGCAGAGGCTCACACTTCTGTTTATTCTTTGCAGGCTTCTTTGTTGAAGCACCTAAGACCCTACCCTGTCCCTGCCTGTTGCAAGTGAATTGCACCCAAGGGGAAAGAGTCTGGGCAGTTTCTAACCAGGAGTTAAAGTATGGGAACTGATTGGGATGATCTAGATCTCTAGGCATGACCCGCCAGACTCGGCAGATTGTTGGGACATCTAGGGTTCCTTCTGGAGGCCACCCTACACTAAAGGTGGGCAATACAGATTCACACAGGGTTTTCAACCTGCCAGGAGTTAATTTTACTCTGTAGTCTTCTGAAAATCCCTTCCTAAAATTCTTGATCATAGTGTCAAGGACGGTGAGTTTACTGTGTCCTGACTCTGTGACGTGTTCGTGGACGGTGCCATTACAACAGACAAGGGAGGGTTGCCTCCTCTAGAGAGGAGACCAGTCAGATAGATGCCTTTCTGTTTCCGCTCTTCGTGGAGACTTTGGGCAGCCTTGGCTAAGGTGCACCCATATAAGTCCCAGGCCAGGTCAGCCGAAGCTGAATCACCGTTATGTCGTGACAGCTGACTGCAAATGCGGATGAGGGTCCACTCAGATTCTGTAGCACAGGCCGTGGAATCACAGATTCAGTGCAGACTGAATGGCAGCCTCCCTGCACACTCACACACACTCAGACAAGACTTTAAACATTCCCCCCCTGGGAATGTCCACCTGTGAGACTTCTAAGAAGTCTCTGGGAGGTGATCAGGCTGCCCTTCCACCCCAATGGGTGGGACTGGCCGGGTCAGGTGCCCCGGGGCCTTACTGGATTCAATGTCGGAACCAGGTCCTCACCTGACAAGCCTCCTTGAGTCTGGCGGGAACAGTGGAGCAGGGCCGGCCCAGGGCAACCGGGTGGGAGCCTGCCGAGGGAGCAGGAGGGGTGTGCCTTCCCTGTTGCGATTTCCTGTTCCGTCACCGCCCATTGCCCCAGACTGGTGGCAACAATGGGCCAGTGCAGTTGGGTTTCCTGGTCAGGGAACCAAATGTTACGGAAAATAGTGGAGAAACCTGGACTGGGACACTGATAGAAGAACCAAGCGGCACTCAGAGGTCTTGGAGTGTTGAGGTTTATTTCACCCCGGCGGGCCCAGAGGGGAGTCATCTCCCAAGGTCTGAGCCCTGAGCACAAGCAAGGGGAACAATTTATATTATTTTGCTATGTGGCATTTTGGCATGTGCAGGGCAAAAGGGGAGCCTGGAGGAGGGGAGGGGGGAGCTGGGAGTGCTTTGCTAACTGGAGGGAAAAGCGGTTTGCTGACTTGGACAGCTGTGTTGAATATTTTCCTTATCATAACTAGTCCGGTATTTAATGGTCAGTCTTTGATTTGCAGATATATGGAGTCTGGGAGTGATCCTCTTCATGTTGGTCTGTGGGCAACCACCTTTTCAAGAGGCCAATGACAGTGAAACATTGACAATGATCATGGATTGCAAATACACAGTCCCATCCCATGTGTCTAAAGAATGTAAAGAGTAAGTAAAAAAAGTTTTTGGAAACCTTTAGCGCTCATAAAAGTGTAAGTTTTATTTTATTCCACTAACAAGTCAAAAAATTTTGAGGTGACCTCAACATCCCAGCTTCTGGGTTTGGTTTAATTTTTGAACTCATTATTTTGTTCTTGGTGTAAATATGTTTGGGAGGGGGTTAACCTCAGAATATGATTTGAAATTTACTATTAGAGTCCAGAATGTATTCTTAAACATGCCCATTTTCAAGAAAGCCATCCCTTCCATGTCTCTCTAACCACCAGGGATGGGGGTCCGCTCCCTTGAAGAGAAGACATTGGCATGGGAACACCCTTGTTTCTGATCCAGCAAAAAGCGAGACCCACTGGGCGTATTTTAAATTCCAGACAAGATTTAGGGCATTTTCTTTCCTGAAACAGACCATCAGCCTGGATTGTGGGATTTACAAAGCATGTCTCATTTTATTCAGATACTCCCCATTGACTGACTAAAGTGCTCTGTTTTGTTTTATGTGACTATGGGAAACCAGCAACTAAAAGTACATTCAAGTTGATTATTTGTAATCTGAGGTGCTATGTAGTATTATGATATATGCTGTACTAAGAAATACAATAATGGAATGAAAGAATTGTTGGAAGTTCAGTATTTTATTGGCATTATGGATGATATTTTCAAAGCTCAGCTGAGATTATAGCTACTGCTTAAAGGATTTTGTGTAATAAAGTTTTGGGTATCTCCCGTCAGCTAGTAAGAAGGACATCTGACAGCTTCAGGAGTACTTCCTCCAAGTGGAGCCCCATCTTAGGCCGTGTGGTAGATGGTTAAGAACTTAGGTATTCAAACTGCCTTCTCCATTTACTAATAATGTGAGAATGGTAGAGTCTACTTTGTAAGGTTATTGTGAAAATTAAATGAATTAATATATAGCTCTTAGGAAGCACGCAGTATAATACTGATGATGAGGAGGAGGAAGGTGGTGATGATCTTTATGCCTTTGCTATTATTTTCTGCCCCAACAAGCAGGGTTGCTGTCCATGAGTATACATAGTATGCATGTTAGATATTTGTAATTCAAGGAGTGTCTCTGCAGCCTCTACTGAAAAAACTTAAACCGATTAACTTATTTTTATATTAACATACCTCATTCTCAAAAGAATGTATAAAATATAAATGTAATAAAATGAACACCTATGTACCTATTTTCTAGCTTAAGAACTAGAACAGTTTTAGTATCTTAAAAGCCTTCTCTGTGTCTCCCTCCTACAGGGATTATTTTTTATAATCATAGGGCCATTCAGTTTTCTACTTTCTCCTGTATCAGTTTTGCTAAGTTGGATTTTTTAAGGAACTTGTACATTTTATCTAAATTTTCAAATGTATTGGCTTCAAGTATTCATATCCTCGGATTACTTTTTTAAGATTTATAAATCAGTGTCGCGATGTTGCCCTTTTTTATTACAGTATTACAATTTTTGTGTTTTCTTTTGTCTTGGTCACTTGCCTGAGGTTTGTTAATTTTACTGGTCTTTTTCAAAGGACTTCCTTTTGTCTTTATTAATTTGCTATTCTATTTTCTTATGTTATGAATTTTCTTTTATCTGTATTTTTCCTTCAGTCTACATCATGAGTTAATTCTCTTACTCTTTGTCTCTCTTATGATGGATACGCAGCACACATTTTCCTTTTCTAATAATAGTTAAGGCTATAAACTGCCTCCTGGTACCGTTTCAGCTGTATCCCACTAGTTCTGATTTATGGTCCTTTTGTTATTGAGTTCTGAATATTTTCTAGGTTCCATTGATTTATTTGATTCATGAGTTCTTGAGGAGTGTTCTAAAATTCCAAATATATCGAGTTTTTCTAATTAGTTTTTTGTTATTCATTTCTAACTTAATTAATTGTATTGTGGTCTAAGAATATAGTCTGTATATACTAGTTTGTCTTTTTTTCCAAATTGCTGAGGGTTGCTTAATACCTAGTATGGAGTTAATTTTTATAAATGATCCTTTGTTCTAGAAAAGAATGTATAGTTTATAATTGCTGGGGTCACAGTTCTATGTAAATTCTTGAGGTCATGCTTGCTGATTATGCTATTTGAAATTACTTACATCCTTTTTGAATTTTTGACAGGTATTCTTCCCCTGTTATGTTGCATTTATTGTTTTATTATTGGAGGTCTGTCAGTTTTTGCTTTGAACATTTTGAGACAATTTTATTAGGTACAAACAAGTTGAAAACTGTTGTGTTTCCCTGGTGAATTGAACCTTGATATCACTATTTTTAATAATGCTTTGTGCCTTAAAGTTAATCTGTGTTATCTAGTTTTAGCTAACTACCAGTATTCCTCTGGTTAGCATTCCTATGCTTTGTGTACATATATATGTGTATAGTTTTCCATTTTTTCACTCTAAACCATTCATCATGTTGGTTTTAAGTACATTTTTTTTTAATAGCTGGGAGCTGGGTTTTCTTTAATTTCATCTGAACATTTTTGTCTTTTAGTTAGAGAGTTTATTCCATTTATGTTTACTTTGCTCACTGGTAGATATAGATATATTCATGCTATCTTTTTATATGCTCCGTATTTGTCCTACTTTTCTTTTTCTTTTTTTCGATTCCTTCTTTGGTATTGATGGAGGTTTTTCTTTTCTCCCTTATATGGCTTTTCCCCCTCAACCAGTGTAAAAATTATAGTCCAACATTTTAGTCATTTTCCTATTTTATGCTTAATTTAATAAAATCTATACTTTTTATCTTTATTCTCTAAGCAACATACAATTTTTAGAACACTTTACCATTCAATATTTTATTTATCTTTTTAATGCCAATCATTCCATGTAATAAACATTGTTTAGAATTACCCTGGTGTTTGAGTGAGAACTTTGTTTATCCTTTCAGTTGGGATCATATTCTTCTGCCAAAATTACATCCTTTAGAATTTCTTTCAGTGAGCATCTGTTGGTGGTCAACTTGCTCGGTTTTTATTTGAAAATGTCTTTATGTCACGTATGCTCTCAAAATACAGTTTTATTGAGAGTGGAGTGCTATGTTGATAGTTACATTCTGTCATGTTATTAAGATGCATTCCACTATCTTCTGATTTTCTTGTTTCTATTGAGAAGTCAGTTGCCTATCTTATTGTTGTTCTTGCATAGAAAATCTCTCTTTTCTCCTAGGCTGCTTTAAGAGCTTCTACTTACTCTGCTTAGGACATGTTAGGCTTTTGGAATTTGTGTTCTTCAGTGAAATTTGGAAAATTCTCAGCCATATTTTTGTGTCTGTGTGTTCAATGGCATGTTTATTAAACAAACGCTCATGACAGATTTTCACAATAGCAACAAATGTTATTTCACTACATCAAATCTCCCTCCCTAAAGAAAGAAAATGCCAATCACAGCAAGATGGATGGATTGGGATTATTTTTCATGTTTTCTGGGGGTAAAGCCAATTCTCTCACTTGTTTTCCCCTATATTCTCTTCTTGATCACTTGATTTCATTTTCTTCACCTGCTTTCTGGCTAAGGACCCCTGGAAGGCTGCTTGGAGTTTGACAGCAGCATTCTCCTCTTCATCCTTTTCTTCTTCTAAAGATTCTAGGGCTGTGACCGGTGTCTCCTCTTTGGCCAGTGAGTTTTTCCCAGGCTCACATTTCTCAGGTGTTTTTGCTCCTTGAATGCATGGTTGTTGTAGAAGTGGTTGTCTAATTTCATCCCCATTCTGCTGGATCAAAGGCGGTTTCTCTTCACTCGGCGCTTGTGCTGGTGGTTCCCGTAGATTTTTCTCTTTGCTGGGTCTCTCAGCTCTTTTCTTGCCAAATATTGTTTCTTTCACATTTCCTCATTTCCTTCTGGAACTCTTGGCCTCCTCGTCCTTTAACCTCTTTCATAGTTTCTATCTCAGGCCACCAGTACAGGGTTATTTCCTTGACCCTGTCTTCTAAGTTATTAATTCTCCTATGTGTAATTATTCAAATTTGTCCATTGATTTTTTTTTACTTATTATTTTTCATTTTTAGAAGCCCTGTTTATGTCTTTTGTTTCCTGACAGTGTTTTAAAGCTTCTCCTTTGTGTCTTAAACATATTTAAAAGTTATATTCTGTTTATGATAATTTCAATATTTGAAGTCTTTGCATTCTGATGTTATGTTTTTAGTTCTTGCTTAATTGCATCTTGTTTCTTTTGTATTTTTTGACTGTGATGAAGTCATACTCCTTGTAATATTATGTGGAGAGTTCTTTAAAGTTACATTAATTTGGGCCACAAACTTGTGTGAAACCAGCTTATAGTTACAAGTTTTAGAAAAATTTCCACACCCCATCTCCACATTCCCTGTTTTATTCCTCATTACCCACTCACCCTCACACTGAGGCTGGAGTCCAGCCCTTTGCAAGGGCTCTGTTTGCAATCCCCACCATCAGCAAGCCATACACCTTATATTCTATTTCACGCCCTTGGTGTAGAGTCTTTAGAAGGAAGCAGGCAATCAGGCCCAAAGGCCAGCTTTGTCATTCACTTCCTAAGAATCCTGTTTTTACTCCATTTTGACCGTTAAGTCTCTCTGCCTTCCTTCCTGTCTATTTGAGAACACAATGCCCTTAAACAGAACACATGTCTAAAACTATATGGCATTTTAGTTGTTTTCATGAGAAGGGTCATTATTCATCCTGAAATAGACATTGGTTTGTATGCTCTATTGAGTGTGTCACTGCTAATGATTGTATCTGGTTTTTGTATGCCACTAAGCCTGTTAATTTAAGGATAGATGTTGATCCCTAGAGTTAATTCTAGATGATAGTATTTGTGTGTTTGACTTAACAGTATTATCTGGTGGCTGTAATTTCTTATTTTATGTATCTGATGGCACTAAATTTCCTTTATTTCTGTTTGCCCCCCCACCACCACTAGTAGAACCTAATGAACTTGATGATATATGTGTAGGAAACAATTTTAATTAAGAAAAGAATCCACCATTACTAATCTCTGCCAGCAGTTTGCTTTAACAGTGGATTTACATTCCTTTGCAGCCTGATCACACGGATGCTACAGAGAGATCCCAAGAGGAGGGCCTCTTTAGAAGAGATCGAAAAACATCCTTGGCTTCAGGGAGTGGACCCTTCACCAGCCACAAAGTATAATATCCCCCTCGTGTCATACAAAAACCTCTCGGAAGAGGAGCACAACAGCATCATCCAGCGCATGGTACTCGGGGACATAGCCGATCGGGACGCCATCGTCGAGTACGTCAGCGCCCGTCAGTATGGGGGGTGTGGGTTTAGGGTTCTTGGAATGAGCTCTACTCTTCGCTTGGGAGGCCTGCGGATACCGGGTAATGGAGAGAAGCCCCGATTGGCGGGGTTTATCTCATTTATCTCAAGTGTTCCTGGCCCGGTGCCTGGCTCATGGGTTTTGTTGTTTTGTTTATAATTTTGTACAACTGAACAAGTAGACCATTGCTGGGTGGTGTCATTGAGTGCTGTGCCCTTTCTCACTTCCTGCAGGGGTGGACTGAAATTGCCTGTTTTATATCCCAATATATATCTTGTCCACAGCAGTATCCTTTTCATTTTCTGTCTTCTCTGGGCTCCACAGTGAGCAGGGAAAATGGGGCAGCACCACAAGCCCTCTGAGTCAGGGGTTGGCATATGGGGCCAGTCACAAACTGTTGTAAAATTTTAGTGGACCACAGCCCCGTTTGTTTATGTATTGTCTGTGGCGACATTGTGCTACAATATCAGAGTAGTTTTGAGAGAGAGCCATGACCCACAAAGCCTGAAATATTTACAGTCTGGCCCTTTAGAGCTCTTGCTGCAACAGCCTGGAACCCATAAGATATGCAGGTCTTAATTAAGTCCTTTAAAACTAAAGCCAGTTTTTAATTACCAAGAAGTTTGGAATCAATGATAATATAAAGAAGCGATTGTTTTAACAGTGACTTACTTCTACAAGAGGTCCTGTCTTTAAAAATATGAAGCATTTCCAAAATAAAAATTCAGAAATTATTTAACCTGTTGAATGAGGCATTTGAATACGATGGAAGGAAGGTGGTATACTCTGAGGACAAGAAAGGGTTCCCATCAGGAGCCGCTCTGGCATTGCCGAGTGAGCTGGCCCGGCCGCCTGCCCCTGGACAAGAGGTGACTGCAGGCTGCACTCAGCATGTCAGACTGTCACAGGACACCCACAGGGTCTGGGCCTTTGGAAGGATAATGTCTGTATGAAGGACATATACTGGAAAGAAAGATTTAGAGAAATAAACCTAGGTTCATTATTTTGGTTTAACTACAGATTTCTGTTACGAGTTTTCACAGATCGACCCACTGCTACTTAAATGACTTATATGAGCAGGATACTTGCTGTTTCACTTTAGGAATACATAGAAAGTTGATATTTCTTTTTTGAGCAGATGAAAGGTTATTTGTATCTCCCTGAATTGGCTTAATGTTCTCAGCTTAAATAAATAAATACATGCACTGTGGTCATTTAGAACTGTTTAATTCATGTCAGTTCAATTACAAACCCGAAGGCAGGAGTGATTTAAATGGTTCAGGTGATCCCATTTGCCTGTCTACCGGTGAGCTTGAGCCCCAAGCTGAGCAGGAGCTGAGAGACCCGAGCTGGCTCTCTCTCCCGGCTCTTCCTGGTTCTGCCTGCTGCTCACTCCTTGTTCTGAGGGTGATTCCCGAGTCCAGAAATGCACGTTTGTTAGTCCCCTCAACACAAGCCAGTAGCTTTATCCAGTATTCAGCTGAGAGAGCCATTCCGACCCCTGAAGCCTTGGGCTCTTAAGAAACTTGTACCTCAGCCCACCCTGCCTCCATTAGCTGTGGCCACACTGAACATTCTGGGAAAACTCTTTCCCTAAGTGTTCACTGTATATTTTCACTAATGCAGAAAGTTTCTGAAAAGAACAGTTTTGTATTTCCGGGCCTTGTGTATCTTCTGTAGCACTCCTGTGCTCTTGCCATGGCAGACTGGCTGTCGGAGGCAGGCAAGGCTCTGCTCTGTGGGCATTATGCCCTCACCCCCAGCACCTCAGGGCAGGGCCCAGCCAGACTAGGTGCTCAGACAGCACTGTGGAAATGGGTGAGTGAATACATTATTTTATTCAAAGAATATGTTAATAACACGCTCTCATTTACATTAATAATTCATTAAAATGTCTAAAATGCCAATAAATGCTAAGAGTGTAAAAATAAAAACTCTTCCTAATTTTTCAGATTGCTACTTGTGTTTCTGTGCACATTCATCTAGCTCATGTCATACTTCTAATGGAAGCAAGTAAACCAGTTTAATGAAAATGGATACTTTTGACATAGAGATTAAATTTTTGGATAATGTGTAATTCCTGGAAGCTTCATTGCCTTTCCTTATGCATCTAATGCTGACGTCCAAGCTCATCTGCTGTCACATCAACACGTTGAGTTTTTCTTACTAATTGAACATTCTTTGCAGGACTTTTTTAGAATTTCAAGTGATGTAGAAGCTAAGAGGTCTTTTTTCTCTTATTTGTATTTTTCCAGTTTTAAAGATTACAGGTCAATGGATTTCATTTGCTTGTACTTAAAAGAAAAACATCTGTTCTGCTTGTAAAACACAAACCTGCTGATGTGGCTTATATTTGCTCTCCATTATTCTCCTCAGAGCCCTGGAAACCAACAGGTATAACCACATCACAGCCACTTACTTCTTGCTTGCTGAAAGGATCCTGAGGGAAAAGCAAGAGAAAGAAATACAAACCAGATCTGCAAGCCCTAGTAATATCAAGGCCCAGTTTAGGTGAGAAAATAATCTGCACTGATTTTAGTAAGTTAACATTTTGAATGGTGAACTTTTTTTTTAATGCTTTCTTACTGTGGGGCAAGAGAGTGTAAATAGTGAGGACAGCCTCACTGGTGAGACCACGCAGGGGCAGGCGGGGCTTGGCCCTTCATTCCCAGGGATGCCTTCCCCGGCTGTGCACAGTGGGGAGAGGGCTGGGGTGGCTGGCCTGGCCAGAAGAACACGTTTGGAGAAGCACCTGTTGAAGCTAGAGTGTCTGTCAGCTATTTTCATTAAACTCTTCCAGAGCTGATATGTATCAATCAATGTGTTACTTTCTTTAATTTTTCATTCCAGAAACAAGGCCAAATTTTCCCTCAATTATTTGAAACAATTTTTTCAAATATGGGGCATTTCTGTGCAGTGATGTTATCTGAGGATTCAGTGATTTGACAGATCAGCTAGTTGATTTACTAGCTACTTGACCCTGGAAGGTCACTTAAACCTATGACTCAGTTTTCTCATCTGTGAAATGGGAGTAATAATACTGCCTGCCTCCTGGGCTTGTGATGAGGGCCATGTGCACTATGGTATGTAGAGGGCTTGGAGCTGGCCCCACGTGTCTGCTGCATCGCAGTGAATGCGGCCTCACCACTGACCTCTGTGAGCAGTGGGTGTGTGCCCGCCCTCCCCTCTCCCCGTCACTGTCACCGTCCCACTGCTCTTTCTCGTTGGCTGTAAGCTTTCCATTTAAAATCAAAGTGTGGACACTGAAATTTATTTAAAATTCATCTTTATTGATTCAGATAAAGTAATCCATGGAATTGTAGTGATTCAAAAACAAAGATGCTCCTGATTCTGAATAATTCTCTATTCATAGATATGAATAGAGGTCAATGGATTTCATTTGCTTGTACTTAAAAGAAAAACATCTGTTTTGCTTGTAAAACACAAACCTGCTGATGGTTTGATATGATATGAACAGAAGTGTGTGAATATGTAATAATAACTGTTATCTCAAAGAAGAAGAAAACCATTGGATTTCTAATTACTTACAGTCAGCTTGCCATGTGAAAGCTGTTACTTTAGATTGAACAACAGAGAGAAGAAAACATTCTTGGGTGGCCAAAAACAAAAGACTCAGAAGTCTAGAACTGGAAAATCAATTTAGAAACTTCACTCATATCCTGGATGTAGTCCCTAGCAGTGAAAACTCAGGCGTGCTGTGCGGTACTTGCTCAAGAGAGGAGTGAGCCCCAGAGAGCGGGTGGCTCCTGGGCACGAGGCAAGCCAGGCGAGGGGCGCCGAGATGAGGGCCGCCTGGGCCTGGCCTGAGTGCCCCAGTGGGAAAGGGTGGCCTCCGGCAGGCGGGCTCTGAGCCTGGAGTCACCCGGTCTTCTGGAGAACAGAGTATCTGGGTTTGAACTATTTTCTGTTCAGTGAAACAGATCAGAACTTTCTAAAGTTGATCAATATGTAAATGAGCTATTTTTATTTTATTATAGAAATCACAAGTCCAGCAGTAGCTATAAAGAAATATTAGAGCCTTCCACAAAGTTTTCTTTTTGCCCCCCTGGGGATTCTGGAGTGGAGATGCTGTGAAGGCCCCTCCTCCTCCTGGGGCCCAGGGCCCACTGGCTGGTGGTGGGTCTGCTTACTTGCCTTCTTTCTGTTGTCAGAACCCTGTGCCTCACTTGGTTGTGTTGCCATGCCTACCTTCTGGTCACAGTGACCTGGGACACAGAAACCTGGACGGAGCCAGGGGACTGATGTTTGAAGTGGCATAATCAGCACTGGGGATAGGGGCAGGCAGTCACGCGAGGGGGAGTCAGGCACAGAGAGAGGATGCGTTCTTGGGGTTCCGCCAGTGTAGGAGGGGAACATGGTATGGTCTGTCTGTCAGAAGAGGGCTTGTGAGGTTCCCAGGGAGCTGATCTTATCACAGGAGCCTTCCCAGAGAGATGAGGGAGGGAGACGCACGAGGCCCATCTGCAGCGGCCCCTCCATGCAACAAGCAGCTGCTCAGAGGGCTTTGTAAGCTGCCCTGGGGGTTTTACTAATCATGAAACCCGACTCAGGTGTGCTGTCTTCAAGCCTGTGTGACTTTGGGCAGGTTACTTACCCTCTCTGCTTTGATTTGTTCATCTGTGAAAGGGAGATAATAAAAGCATCTACTTTTTGGAACCACGGTGGATTGCATGAGTCAGCCCCTCTTCCTTAGGGTTCCTGCGACGGTGCTGGCTCTAGTAAGCCCTCAGTGTGAGGTCTGTTCTCAATGTGACGCGTTTACAAGTTCTTCTCTTTTCTAAAGATAAGCCATGACTGTCTCACAATGTGTGGCTGTAAAGACACCGACTTCTTTCAGCATAGCATTGCGCTCAAATACGTGGTCCATAATTGTGAGCTCTTTAACAGTTTGATGCACTGGTATGAGAAGGAGCCTTTGGCTCCAAGTGGTGACGCAGGACCACTGCCGCCGCAGCACTTACCCGCCCGTGCTGGGGATGGGTCCTCGGTGGTTCTGGCTACCTTTGGGGTGGGGTGGGGTGAGGAGGGAAGGAGGGAGGAGCCCTCAACACGCCTGGGCCCCCCTCCGCGTCCCTGCGGGCAGGGCTGTGTGGGCCGGTGCCCGTCAGTGCCTCCCCTGGCTTCCCCACTGCCTGCTGGGGGAGGGTGTGGAGCAGCCACTCTTCCAGGAGCAGCGTGAGGGAATAAGTGCTGCTTGCCAGGGTGCGGTGCGCTCTGGGTCTGCGCAGTTGCACTGGTGGACAGCAGGTCCCTCGTCCAAAGACATGTCTGTGACTTCAAAAACATGACTGAACCCTCGACTTTTATGGACTGCGAAGTGACTGTGGCTCCAGAAGAGCTTCGAACACTCCAGCAGCAGAGGATAAGAGCTCAAGGAGAATGACGTCTATGGTGAATTCCTACAAGCTTTTTAAAGCTATAGATTTAATTGGGTTTTATCTCTAGGATAACATAATTGGTGTGAAATGAAAATATCATAGTGTGGCAGTGGCTGTTTTAAATGTCTCTGGCATCTACTCCTTCCTTGGGCAAAGAGCACAGTTGAGAATTCCAAGATGCTAGCAACTCATTTCCAAAAGTCATTTTCTTTGGCTACCAAGCAGTGTTCCTGTTACTAGGGTGACTCCAGATCGGGGAATAAAATCAAAGTTCAAATAACAGTAGGTTTTATCATGATTGATTAAGAAATAACAGTGGATTTTGCTATTGAGTATTCTTGTGTGGGCATTTAAAAATACACACATGTATATTTAGCTTAGTGCATCTTTAAATTGGTGAAGAAGAGATTTATTTATACTGGTATATATTACTTTTCTCCTATTCTCATACTTACGGCCATTAAACTATTTCCATTTATTTTTGTAAATACCAAACTTTTACACCATACTCTAGCACTTGGAAGACTGGAAATTTCAGGTGACTTTTGTTAGCAATAACATACCTTCAAAGGGTATGATCTAAGACCCAAAGGAACAAAACATGTGTGGTCAGGTTTTTCTTTGGCAGTAATTCCTCCATGTTTTTTAAAATGTTTTTCTTGTGGTATAAAACTCATATTGGAAAGATGGACTAGCTTTCTGCCTTCCCTTCTGACAACAGTGATGAACTTGATCATTTGGCCAATAAGCCACAGACATGTTTCAAAACCACATTTGCTCTTCTGGTGTCCTAGCTGATGCTTACAGGATGTTGAATGGGTTTGCAAGACTGCTGTTCCTTTTTTCTTTTACTTTCCTTTATCAAGTCTCTCAGTTTTGTCCCGTTAAGTCTTAGGTAGTGTACTTCAGTAAAGTCTGCATATCATTACATGGCTTTTTCTTTTGCAATTTCTTACATAGGCAGTCATGGCCGACCAAAATTGATGTACCCCAGGACCTTGAGGATGATCTTACAGCCACCCCTCTGTCCCATGCAACTGTCCCTCAGTCTCCTGCTCGGGCCGCAGACAATGTCCTCAATGGCCACAGGAGCAAAGGCCTGTGTGACACAGCTAAGAAAGATGACCTCTCCGAGCTGGCTGGCCCAGCGCTGTCCGCCGCGCCACCTGCAAGCTTGAAGCCCACGGCCAGTGGGAGGAAGTGTCTGTTCCGGGTGGAGGAGGACGAGGAGGAGGAGGAGGAGGACAGGAAGCCCGCCTCCCTCCCCGCTCAAGTGGTACTGCGCCGGAAGCCCTCTGTGACCAACCGGCTGACGTCAAGGAAGAGCGCGCCGGTCCTCAACCAGATCTTTGAAGAGGGGGAATCTGATGACGAGTTCGACATGGATGAGAACCTGCCTCCCAAGCTGAGCCGGCTGAAGATGAACATCGCCTCCCCGGGCACGGTTCACAAGCGCTACCACAGGAGGAAAAGCCAGGGCCGGGGCTCCAGCTGCAGCAGCTCCGAGACTAGCGACGACGACTCTGAGAGCCGGCGGCGGCTGGACAAAGACGGTGGCTTCCCCTACCCCTGGCACCGCCGGGACGGCAGTGAGGGGCCCCCCGGCAGCGAGGGTGACGGTGGGGGCCAGGGCAAGCCGAGTGGCGGTGGCGGCCGTGCAGACGAGGCCAGCCCCGGCGAGAGTGGTGCCGGTGGTGGCAGCCCTCCCGGCGGCTCCGGGGGCGACCCCCCCGGCAGCTCGGGCACCACGCGCCGCTGCGCCGGCCCCGGGTCCTCCCCGCAGCTGGCCGCACGCAGTGCAGGCGAGCTCGTGGAGAGCCTCCGGCTCGTGGGCCTGTGTCTCGGCTCACAGCTCCACGGCCGCGCCACGTACATTATTGGCCCCCAGAATGGCTTGTCATTGTCCAGTGTGAAGGTCCAAGAGAAATCTGCGTGGAAAATGTGCGTCAGCTCCGTGGGCAGCGCGGGGCCGGCCCCTGCCATGGGCAGCCTCAAGTTCTTCTCCGACCACGTGACAGATGCCGCCTCCGACCTAGGCCGGGTGAAGAGCAGGAACCTGACCAACAACGTGCTGCAGCTGCCCCTGTGTGAGAAGACCATCTCTGTGAACATCCAGCGCAGCCCCAAGGACGGGCTGCTGTGCGCCTCCAGCCCGGCCAGCTGCTGCCACGTCATCTGACTGCGCCCCCAGGGGCCTCTGCACTTCCTGCCCAGAGCGGCGCACACCGGCTCCCTTCACTGTTCCCCTCTCAGTTTTAACTTACAGTGGGCGCTAGGAGCAATTATTTATTACATTTTCATTTGTTCGCCTGGTGATGTGACAGTGCATGGTCTTGTGCATGCTGCTAGACACTGCTCTTCTCTTCCAGCCGAAAAGTCTATGTAAAATTTCTGCATTTATTTTTAAAGTGGATGATAAGGATTAAATTAAAATATATTTGGAACCTAATATACATGGAGCACTTAGAAATTTGATGTTCTGCACTTAACCTAGAGAGAGAAAAACATGCTGTTTCCTTGTGAAAAATCTAAATTCCCGTCCTGACCTTCTGTGATATGGGGACTCCACGCTCTGAGGCACATTCTGTGGTGTCTGAGACAGAACAAAAGCAATAACGTCACGACGTAAGCAGGTCTGGAGCCTGCGAGCGTGTGCATGCCCAGCCTTCCCGGGCCTGTGCAGAGCAGAGTACAGCGAGCATCTGCACTGAGAGCCTCACCGCCGTTTCAGCGTACCCACACCTGTTTGTCTTAAGCTATAGTGTGATCTATAGTGTGAAAAACAATTCTGGGCTCTTAAAATTTAACCGAAGATTTTCTTGTTTTGTAATAGATGAGATGAAGTACTTAAATTTATAAGGCAGCTTCCCCTGTAGTGGTTAAATTCCAAGCAGACAATCTTATTTTGTAACTTGATGAAGTGAACTGATGATATGTTAACTCTACTTACAGAGTATATGCCTATCTAACAGAACAAAAAGATGCTCTATGTAAATTCCTTCCTATAGGGCACACCCCAGGGTTTCCTTCAGAACCATGTTGACACATAAAACTATAGGGCCGATATGGAAGCAAAGGTGCACAGAGAGGTTGGTGAAATCAAAACCCCATAAATTAAAAAAAAATTCCTGGGATTTCATTTTTAGGAGTTTGGTAATTAGGTTGTCTCTTTTGTTATTTCCATTCTTCTACATCCTTTAGCTGAGTTAGCTATGAAAATTGGCTAATCAAAAAATACACATGAAAGGGTACAGCAAACAAAAGTGCACAAAGTCTGCTTTGTTAGTCTGCTTTGTTTTTTGTTTTTTGCTGGAGTGTTTTTTACTTTGTCTTCCTGCTAAAATAATAATCAAAGAACTCTTGCTTTAAACTATTCCTGTACAAAGACTGCTTTTGATGAGGTAATCATCTTCTGCGGCATTTTATCTTATAGGACACAGTACATTGCAGATTGCTGATTTTGGAAGGGGCTAGATGCTGCTTGCCTGGGGGTCTTAAAAGCTTATCAACATTGGTGATTCAGTGTAGCCAGGCCCCCGGGGGCCTTCTCATACTCCTCAGCCTCCTGTCGTGTCTCTGGAATGGCAGCCACCGGGTCCTAGAGTGGGCAAAGCACCAAAGGACCTCATTCCATTGGTCACAGTTTCTCCAAGGACACACTGACTCTGCTACTTTAGGACTCAAAATATTTTACTCAGAACTCTGAATTTCACAGTATACCTACTAAACTAAGTAAAGAAAGTAAAAGACCTAGGCTAGATATGTTTAAGCTACCGCTCTAGTTCATTGTGATATTTATAATTGAAAGCTATGAGAAAAGATGTGTGGGTGAAGCCATAGAACATATTTGCTTGAAATTCTTGAGCAGGGATCTTATAAAGGGCCAGAAATAAAGATGTGTGGTTCACACAAATAGTGAGCGTAACATCTGTATTAAATGTAGAGGAGAAGTTTATAAAGGGCATTGGCAATAAACTCTTTGTTGCAGCTGTTTTCCAACTAATGTAAATACTTTTTCCTGTGATTATGTATAGCCTTGGAATGGCACCTTTTAACTAACCCGTATGTGTTTGGTTTTCAATGGTTTTTTATATTCAGATGTATATATGGTGCTCACTTTAGGATCAGCAGTGTTGACCATTATGCTGCATAGCTGTATTATAGCCTTATTAGTTGTGTGTGGTTGGTTGACCCTCTGGGTATACAGATGTTAGTCTGAGTGGCGTCTTACTCATTTGTTCACAAGTGAATGATTGTGCATGTGTTGTATGTCATAGTATGTCATCACATAAAAGGGAGGGAGCAAATAACCATTACATTAATATTGGACCAAACTATCTACTAGCTCTAAAACAGTTTCTTGTACCCCTTAACCTGTCTTCAGAAGTTGCATAGAGGTGTAGTACTGTTAAATATTGTGGAAAAACAATTAGTCTTGTATTTGTATGTATGTGTATGTACATATATATGTATGTGTGTGTGTGTATACACACACACACACATACATATATAAAATTAATGTACTTCTGGCAGTTCTATCTATATTAAAAGATGTGACAATCTTGACACCGATTCTAAGAATAGCTGTGAGACTGAATCAAATTAAAGCTATCCCTACCAAGTAAGAATTGATATGTGTTAAGAGGGTACAGAATTATCAGCTGATTTGGTCAGTTGCTTCCACTGCTGGTTGATTTTTCTCATTGTGTAAACATTGACAAGTATGTGACAAATGGGGAAAAAATCCAAATAAAGTGGCATATTGGTGTTCAGCAATATAAACTGCGTCTCCTGTTGTTTCTTTTCATGAATGCAGCTTTGTATAGTCCCAGCCTGGGTTAGACCCAACTGCCCACATGCTGTGCACCTGCACTGCCAGATGTGACTGAAAAATATTATCGTGACTGTTATTGCTTTAAACTCATGGCCACAAGTGTCCAGTGCACCCGAGGATTGCTCATTAATTAGACCTTATTTCCCCAGTCCATCTGCTTTCCTCACTTGGCTAGTCACCATGCTTCCTAGTAATCCAAGTAAGCATAAGCCAAAGCAGTTAGAACTGCCACCAGCTCCTACTTCTTCCTTCTTGCCGTTGTATGTATCCATGTGCCTCACCCTTCCTCCTGGTAGTGTGAATTCCAAGGTCACTTTTTTCCCTTTACAACTTGAGACTTAACAGTGCAAGTGAGGCACCTTTTCCATTCTCCTTTCTCTTGTACCATTAATCTTTGCTTCGTTACTAGATCATTCCTAAAAGCAAACAAACATGACTAGTCCTCTCTTTAAAAGTTTTGTTCTCTATACAGCTGTCACAGTTCTCTGCGCTTCTTCTTCACACTCTCTTGAGCCCTTCCAATCCGGCTCTTGCCGCTATCACCCACCAAGGCTGCTTTGCTCAAGACCAGCAGTGACCTCCAATGTTCATCATGCTATTGCTAAGGCACAATGTGCTAAATCCAATGGCAACTTTTAAAAAGCTTTGAGATAACCACATACCACACAATTCACCTAAATTGTACAATTTAGTGGTTTTTAGTATGTTCTGAGTTGTGCAACCATTACCATAAACCCCAAAAGAAATCATACCAGTTCCCACATTCTCCACTGTCCCCTCAACTCAACTACTAATCCAGTGTTCATTTTCAATCCTGTGTTAGCATTTGATGAACTGATCATTCTTGCTTGTAAATTTCCCATTGTTCAGGACTCCACTTCTACTTTGCTCTTCAGTCCACTAGCTCTTCATTCTCCCAACCTCTAAATTTGGAATATCCCAAGGTTCAATTCTGGAACCCTTCTTTACCTGCAGTCTCTTGAGGATTCCATTCAGTCTATCACCTATGTGCTGATAGAGCCAAATTATATTTAGCCCACCTCTTTCCTAGGAACAAGATGCCAGCAACCTATTTAACATCTCTCTACTGGGATGTGTCTAATAAGTACCTCAATTTTTACCAACTCCAAACTTTGGTAAAAGTTTACCAAGTCTCCCTCAAATCCTTACCTTCCTAATGCTCCCCAGGTCACAAGTTGCAACTCTAAACCTTCTTTAGCTTTGCACAAATCAAAAATCTTGGTGTCACACTTCACTCTTTTATCCCAACATTCAATCTATCAGCAATATTATTCATTCAAAACTGACCCCTGGTACCTCTACTGCTGACCCTCTGGTCCATGATACATCACGCTCTTCTGGACAACTAAATACCTGTGAAAGGGTCTTGCTGCTTTTGCCTTGTTTTCTCTTGTCTCTTCCACTCAGCATTGTGAATAATCCTTTTAAAAGCTAAGTCATGTCATGTTTAATTTCCAAATATTGGGGGATTTTCCACATAAGCTCATGTTACTAATTTTCAGTTAAATTCTGTTTTGGTCAGAAACTATGATGTGTATAACTTAAATCTTTGAAAACTTACTGATATTGTTTTATGGCCTAGCAAATGGCCTATCCCATGAATGTTTCCATGAGTGCCTTTTTAGGTGCTGTTATTGGTAAAGAGTTCTATACATGTCAATTAGTTCAAGTCTGTTTATAATGTTATTCAAGTCTTCTATAGCCTTAATGATTTTCCATCATGTCAATTACAGGGAGAGGAGTGTTGAAATCCAACTGTAACTGTGGTTTTGCCTATTTCTTCTTTTAGTTCTATCAATTTTACTTCATGAAATTTGAAGCTCTTTGTTAGGTAATACACATTAAGATCATTAAGTCCTTTTGATGAATGGATCCCTTTTTACTGTTACAAAATGTTTCTCTTTATCCCTGGTAAATTGTTCTTTGTCCTGAAATCTACTCTCTCTGATGTTGATATAGCCACTCTAGCTTTTCTTTGACTTGTGGAAGTATATTTTTCATCTTTTTTATTTTTAACCTATTTGTGTCTTTATGTTTAAAGTAGGTTTTATTTGTTTTTTTTTTAGTCAGCATATAGTTGGGTATTACTTTTCTTATTTATTCTGCAAATCCTTGCCTTTTACTTAAGAGTGTTTAGACCAATTACATTTAGTGTAATTACCAAAGTAAATCTACCTTCTAGTTGTTTTTATTTGTCCCATTTGTTCTTTCTTTTTCCCTCTTTACTACATTCCTTTGGTTTAATGGAGCACTTTTTATTGGTTTATAGGCTGTGACTTAGTGGTTGCTGTAGGGAATAATTTTTATTTTCTATATACATAAATATAAAATCATATATATATACACATATGTATGTATGTATGTATGTATATATATATATAAAATCACATTCTACCTTAAAATTACTTGTTGAATGTAAGAACCCTTCCTGTGAGGAAGTTCACCAGCTCTGTACAAGGACTAGAGGCCAAAATTCTTGCATGCCATGTGTCAGTGTGATGTGTGCCACAAGCTTAAGGGAAAAGCCTGTCATGTCTTTTTTACTCTCTTTAGTTAATCACTTGAGGCCCATGTTCCAGTCAGCAGGAAGCCCAGCATCTCCTCCCTCCTGAATGGAGGGACTCTGCCTCTGAAATAACCCAGTATCCCAGGGGCTTATATAGGGCTGGAGAGCTGCCAGTCATCCAATGCTGGTTGTCTAGGGAACTGGAAAGTCTCTTTGGTCCTGCATGCTATTGCTCCTCTGCCCCAGGGGCTGTGCAAACCCAGGGTGCGTGTCCAGTGGGTGGGAGGGTCTTGGTGCTCCAGATCCCTGCCAGGCCATGGTGGTGACAAGGCAGCAGGCAAGGAGGCAGGCTCCGCAGGACCTTTAGCATCAGCTACTGGAGAGAACCCAGCAAGGCCTCAACCCCCACTGCGCATGGACTTCGATGTACAGCAGCAGCCCTGCAAACATCCTCAAAGACGTGGACTCTAGGGCCAAATTCCCCAGATCCCATCCTGGCCTGGGGTGGTGGGATGGTGGCCTTGGCACTGACAGGAGGCTCTCCCCAGGGCTCTGTGGCCACCCTGAGGAAGCTGAGGCCCCGTTGCTGCTCCGGGCCTTCCTGCCCACCTGGTGCAGCCTTGCTCGGGCCCTTGGCTAGCTCGCAAGACCTCCTAACTTGGTCTCTTAGTGAGCTGGGGTGAGCAGTGTCCCTGTGCCTTCCCGGTGGCTGCTTTTGTGTAGATGAGAAAACCACTAACCGGCTTGGCAGCACAGGACCAGGAAAAGCATCTTCTCTCCTCTGTGGCCCTTTCTGTGGGTGGGAGAAATGGGGGCCCCCAAGCTGAAGACAGAGTCCCGAGGACCCTGCCACCCTGGTGGAGAAGCCCATCTTCCCTCCAGACTCAGGGCTGGAACTCCGTCAGGTCCCACTCTCTCCAAGCCATCCTGGGGGAGGTGTAGGGGCATGGAGGGGGGCCTGCAGCCTTCCAGGCCTCTTCAGACTTGGCTGACCAGTAAGTTTGCCAAGTCCCCCATCATCTGTTTGCCAAGGCCTGGCAGTGGTAGATTCTTAAACCAACTTGGTGAGAAAGTCTGGACCCCAGGCCTCACTGTCTGTCGCCCTGGCCTTCCTCTTCGTTGCTAATTTGCTGCTGGGAGGGCAGGAGCTTCAGGGGTCAGGGGTGATGAGAGTGCGGCAAAGGCGTGGTGTGGGCTGTGAACACATGGGGGTATGTGGAGCTCAGAGTGGGCCATGTTGCTGTGAGAACTGGGGGAAGTCACTTGAATCCCCTGTGCCTGTAACCTTATTTACATAGGGACAGTATGTGGAAACTGAGGCCCCGAGGGTACATCAAGGAGGGCAGTGACCCCTTGGCCTCCAGCTTCACTGGAGGGCTGGTGATCCTTAACATTTGCTTCTTGTTCCCTCTCAAGTTGTGGCCACCTGCTCAGAGAAAAAGGTCGAGCGCTTGATGATCCTCCAGCACTGCAACCCTAGGGGCTGCACTCGGCCAGTAGAGACCCAGGCCTGACCACAGGGACATGCAGGGGTCTCTGTGGGCCTCTGGCACAGGGACTTCCGAGCTCTGGAGGGCAAGAAGGGAAGCCTGTGGGGGATGTGACAGCCCTGCCCCCTGCTCAGGGAGGTGCTCAGTGACTCTCTGGCACAGACTAAATTGAATGGCTGGTTGTGTGAGAGGACAGTCAGGCTGAGAAGTGAATCGGGCCTGCGGCCAATCCAGACTCCCGCCTCTGAGCACCTCATCCGAGAGCTGGATGCTGCCCACCATACAGGGACATGAGGAACTCCAGGTCCTGGAGGTGCCACACAGCCTCCCCTTCCTGCCAGCCTTCCTCTTGGCACAACCTGGCTGGCCCCCATGTCCCTTCTCCTCCTCAGGGGCTGGCCCCATGGAGGTGGGTGCTGTGCGTGCAGGCCCACCCTGTGGGTCCCGTTTTCCCTGTGCATGCCTGGTTCAGGCCTGGCTAAGTGACGTGCTTCTGCTGGGTCAGATGAGAAGTGCAGGAGGAGGCTTCTGGGTAAGACAGTCACAAGACAGGGCATCCCGGGTGTGCGCCAGCACCTCCAAGAGAGAGAGGGCCGGCTTGGAGAGCTGTGAGCCGGCTGGTGGGGGATGAGCTGCGTTCACATCCAGAACCCACTGCCTCACACCCCAGTGTATTCATGTGCCTGGCCCCCAAAGCCGGACTCTGGGGGAGACGAAGAGCTGAGCACAAGGACCCCATCGAACTTCCTCCTTTCCCAGTGAACACGGGCACCCAGACTGGGACAGTAAAAAATCTCTTGGGGCTTCAGGGAACAGCACTACAGCAGTGGCTACCTTCATGGTATTTTAAAACATGGGCATGTTCTAGAAGTATTAGCCAAGCATCAAACAACCACTGAGAAATTACACCATGGTGTACCTTGGCCAAGTGGG